AGCATTACAAGGTACCATATCTATCTAGAATGAATAAACGAGCTGCATCCACTTTTGATGTAATACATTATGATGTTTGGGGACTTGTCCTATTTTATCTAAGATCGGTTTTTGTTATTTTGTTACCTTTGTGGATGATTATTCTTGGGTTACTTTGTTATATTTTATGAAAAATCGCTCAGAAGTATTTTCAATTTTCTGCACCTTTTATGATGAGATTAAAATTCAATTTGATAAATCTATTCGCATTTTAAGGAGTTATAATGCCAAGGAATATTTCTCATCCACATTTACTTTCTTTCTATCTCAAAATGGTATTCTTCATCAATCTTCATGTATCGTTACTCCACAACAAAATGGAGTGACAAAAAAAAAACAAAAACAAAAAAATCGTTATTTATTGAAAGTTGCACGAGCTACTCTCTTTCATATGAATGTTTCAAAAGAGTTTTGGGCAGATGCAGTCTCTACTGCATGTTACTTAATCAATAGTATACCTTTCTCTATTTTAGATTTATACTCTATTTTAGATGGTAAAAATCCCTTATTCAATCCTATTTACATCTCAAACTTTATTCTCTTACTCCTAGAGTGTTTGGGTATACTTGCTTTGTTCAAGACATGAGACCTCAAGTTTCCAAACTTGATCCCCGATCCCTTAAGTGTATATTTTTTTGGTTATTCTCAATACCAAAAAGATTATCAATGTTTCTCCCCTTAGGATGATACGTAGTGTCCGCTGGTGTCACATTTTTCGAGACCACGCCTTCCTCCAGTAACTCTATGCCTTCCAAAGCTTCTTTCGAGTCTAAGGATGATTTTCTTGCTTACGCTATGACTACACCTGTGTCACCAACATCTTCTTGTCCACCTATTCAAAATGTTTACACTCGTCGTGTGCAACAATCTCCAGTAGCAAATACTATAAACCATGACTTATTGCCTCTACCTGCTGCTTCACCTCAGGATTCGTCACCCTCTCCTCATCCTAGTCTAGGTCTTTCCATTATCCTTCGAAAAGGTAAACAGTTATGTACTTATCCTATTTCTTCTTTTGTTTCTTACAATGCATTGACACGATCTTCCAAGTCCTTTATTGCCTCCTTAGAGTGTGTGTCAATACCAAAATCTGTAGCTGAGGCTTTGTCCCATAGTGGCTGGCAAGTGGCCATGTAGGAAGAAACGATGGCCTTAAAACATAATTATATCTGGGAGTTGGTTCCTTTACCCCTTAATAAAAAGGTAATCGGATGTAAATGAGTGTTTACAATCAAGATGAACCATAATGGATCTATTGCTCGATTGAAGCCTCGTTTGGTTGCTAAGGGGTATGCTCAGACTTATGGTGTGGACTACTCTGAGACTTTCTCTCCAATTGCTAAACTGGTTTCTGTTCGGTTATTCATTTCTCTTGCTACTACTTATCATTGGCCGCTTCACCAACTAGATGATAAAAATGCATTCTTTTATGGTGATTTACAAGAAGTTTAGATGGAGCACCACCAAGGTTCGTTACTCGGGGAGTCAAGACAGGTCTGCAAACTGCAAAAGTCATTGTATGGATTGAAACAATCACCACGTGCCTGGTTTGGGAGACTTAGTGAGGATGTGATTGAATTTGGCTTGCAAAGAAATGTATATGATCACCCAGTATTCTTTAGACGGTCAACAGTTGGGTGTATTTTGTTAGTGGTATATGTTGATGATATTGTGATTACTGGTAGTGATATCAGCGGCATAAGTATGCTGAAGGCTTTCCTAGGCACAAGATTTCAAATAAAGGAGCTAGGTCCTTTGAAATATTTCTTAGGGATAGAAATATCTCGAAGTCGTAAAGGAATTTTTCTATCTCAAAGGAAATATGCTCTGGACCTACTGGATGAGACAGGTTTAGAGCAAAACCTGGTGACGCCCCTATGATAACAAATGTGAAACTCGAAGCAGAAGATGGAAATGTATTTGTTGATGCAGACAAGTACAGGAGGGTAGTGGGAAAGCTTAACTATCTTACAATTACTCGGCCAGACAATGCATTTCCCGTAAGTATTGTTAGTCAGTTTATGTCATCTCCTAAAACTTCACATTGGGATGTCGTAACTCATATATTAAGGTATCTTAAAGGAAGTCCAGGGCGTGGAATTCTTTATAGAGACCGTGGTCATTGTAGGGTTGAAGGTTTCTCGGATGCTGACTGGGCCGGTTCTCCCGTGGCTCTACTACAGGGTATTGTGTTTTCGTTGGAGGTAAACTAGTCTCTCGAAAAAGTAAGAAACAGAGTGTTGTAGCTCGATTAAGTGCAGAATCTTAAAATCGAGCTATGGCATAGGTGACTTTTGAACTTATGTGGCTACGTCACTTACTTGGAGAAATTGGCATTGATATGTCTCACTCCATGAACTTGTGGTGTGATAATCAAGCAGCTATTCACATTGCCACTAATCCAGTATTTCATGAGAGAAAAAAGGAAACAGTGAAATTATTCTTTTGAACACAACACTGGGAGGATTAATCCTCTATAAAAGAAAAACTTGTGAAAGTTCATGACTGACTGACCTTGCCTTCCCCATCTTCCGATTTCTCAGACGTTTCAAGCTCCATTTCCGCAAAGAAAGCCTCCAAGACAAATGCCACCACCTGAAATGATATAACGGTGACATCCCAGGTTATTTCACAACATTGACACAGAAACAAACCTGGGTAAAACAAAAACCCAAAAAAGGTCTGTAAATGTGTAACACTTGAAAATGGTAAGTGATGATCGGTTCAATATCATGAGAGTTGAATTTTCTTGTTACATTTCATACACATTTCAGTAATTTGATTTGCAGTTTGGTATAATCTAGGTTACTAAAACAGAAGCAAAAAAGAAGAGTGTTGACCTGATGTTAATTTGAAAAGAATGGTGCATTCGTTCTTCTATATGCATCAGTTCACTAACCATAATGCTACACCAAGCATTTTTTAGTATGACATAGTTCAATATGTAGGTATGGATACGTACGCATCAAAGAAATTTATCTCAATGCAGTATTTCATCAAATCACAAGCGTAGGGACGTTGCGGTTCAAAGGATATTAGAAATATAATTTTATCTCGTGTATATCTATATAAAACCCGAAAGAAAAAAGTAGTTAAGCATTGACTACAACTCACCAAATTCAAAAGCAGCAAGACTGAAATAAGATAGAAGCTGACAAAGTAGGCATAAGTCCAAGCTGTTCCAGTTAAATCCTTGTAGCTCTGAAAATTTCAACAGTCATTCCAATCACATTATACTGCTTTTAAGTACAAAGATAACACAAAAATAAGTTAACAAGATGTTGCAAAGCAAATTTGCATCGTTTTTAACAGAAAGTTGGGATGTAATCTTTGTATTGCAGTGTAAATAGAGAAAATAAACTTCTCTTGATTATCTACAGTAGTACGCATGCAATAATCAAGACCCAGAAAGATGATCTGGAGTATCTTTATGTATTCAGTGTCATATCTCAATATCAAGATCATAGTTTTCAAACGTTATTGAACTGGTCAAGGTACGTTGGTTACTGGTTTAACCAACAAGTTACTGTCAAATCAAAAATCTAAGCGCAAAAAATTTTTAATTGAATATACAAGCAATGATATAATAATATTAAAAGTTAATGTGTGTCATATGTAAAAAATGAATTGTGTTAAGCTATGATGCACCGACACGGACACGTGTGTCCGACACGATACGTGTCGGATACGTCGACTCGTGGTTTTTCAAAAAAGTACTGACACGACAAGTCGTCGACACGTTCATTAAATTTTTAAAATTCTTCATTTATATAGTTTCAATTTAGTTTTATACTTATTATTGATTCTTTTTTGTTGAAATCTTTTAAATATGAGTACTTATTTGTTATTTATTAAAAACTTTGAGTTAAAAATATATAATAGTTATAGTAAGAAAGAAAAATGATTATTGTAGAGTGTCTGAAGAGTGTCGATATCGACACGTATCCGACACGTGTCGGACACGGACACGCTACCCTAGTTAGAGTGTCCGTGCTACATATGTGTTAAGGGAAGTAGTATAATAATTAAAAAATTTTAAATTATTTTCTTTATAATTTAAAATCAAGTAAAAGATACATTGAGCCCTTGCTTGGTATAGCTTGAATTGTAGATTAAAATTTGAGTCAAAATCAACAATTAATTTTAATCACACATTTCGTGCAACCCAAAGCTTTTCAACTGCAAATTTCATCAACCTTTACCAAAACCTACTAAAAATCTGATTTTAGCTAAACTAAACCAGGGTAAAGAGTTTTTTTGTCTTTTGATACTTTTAGTATATTAATAAGCATCTCTATATGACTACTTATCCTTTAATTTAAATTTTTTTTTTTTTTAATTTTGGTTGGTCAGTATGACGTTTTATTTTTTTAGTATTATACTTGACATTAAAGATGGGTGACAAATATTATTTTTGCTACTATGAAAAAATGTAACATGCATAAATATATATTTATTAGCATTTGAAATACATTTGATAATGCCTTTATTTTTTTGGCAAATGGATATCTTTTTAACCCTGCTCAATGGTTTCTTATTAAAACTGCCTAGTTCAGATGTATAAAATCATCCAGTCTTTTACGGCTTCAGGCTAGAACTTTCAGCCTTCCTACATAAACAAGTTGAAATCTAGTGTAGTTCTAGAGTATTATACTAAAAGCACTCCGGTGAGGTCTTCTCTATACACCAGAGCCTTTACTTCATTTAATCAATGTTATTGGTAAAGGAAGAAGGATGGAACAAGCACACTTAAAACTTAACTATATTAAAATGGTAAAGTCGGGATTATCATGCAAGTTCACCAACCTCACTGGTAAGCTCAGAAAGCCCACCCCCAAGAGGCATTGATGGAATATTAGATTGATATTATTATATTTAGTTTCCGGTTTTAATTCATATTTTAGGAAACATAATTAAGTTTAATTTAGTTACTTTTATTATATATTTCCTACTTAAAATAGGGTCTTTTAAAACCCTATATAAAGGAGCTTATGCGATGTAATTCAAACAACTTTTTGAATGAATGAAATAAATTGATCTCTCCCCAATTTCTATCTTCCTATTCCCCCTCTTCTTCTCTCTTTTCCCCCTCATTTCTCTTCTTCTCTCTCCTTTCCCCTTCTCCTGTAGTTCTCTTGTTGTATCCGGCATCAGGCATCAACTTTAAAAAAAAAAAAAAAAAAAATTTCCCCATAATATAAGTTGTAAATTCCAACTAACTGCAATAGGCCATAATAATTACAATTCAATTATAACCAATTCCAAAATCGACAGAAAAAGAGAATGCCCAAACAAATATCAATTTGTTCCAATTAATGGATGTAGTGATAAATGATGGCAATTATCACAAAATAATACCTGCATCCAGGCTTGCCAGTTTCCCATCACTAGTAAATTGAAAAGTGTCACCATCCCATTTGGGTAGTCATTGAAGTTGAAAAGTAAGTAGCTTAATTAGTCGAGGAACTCCAGAAAAAGAATGATTTCAATTAGGAAATAACACCTCATGCATAACTGAACAAATATAATACTTTATAGCTGACCAAAATGTATATCCTCAGGAAATATTAAGACATACTATAGTGTGACGTTAATATAATTAGTATACACACTAGAAGTTTACTATGACAAAGGATACTCATCATCAGAAAGATCAGTTCCTTTAAGATTCGGATTCCCAGCATTGACAATTCCACCAAAGATCTGGAAGTTAAGAGAACACAAAAACAAAAACAAAATAAACATAAACATAAACAAAAACAAAAACAAAAACAGAAAAAAAAAAAAAAGAAAAATACAAAATACAAAAATACAAAAATACAAAAAATACAAAAAATAAATAAAATTATCCAAGACCTACATAGAAAATGTTCAGGACCTATCGAGCATCTATAACATGCAGATGGGGAATATTAATCTACCATATAGAAGTAAGAATGAAATGTCTCTCTCTAGTCTAGATGAATACAATAAATTTACTTTACTTCGAAGTTGTGAATATAATTCTAGCCAAAAAAAAAAGTATACAAATGAGATAGTCAAAATAAGCATAGCGCAAATGTGGAAAGAAATATAGTACCTGTACACCAAGAGAGCAATAAACGCACAAGACACAGAATATGATCCCCAGATATGGCATTAGACTTGGTATTAGGGTCAAAAATGTTGCAACAAAAGCCCGATAACGTTCAACACGCATTAAGAGTCTAATCAATCTTAACATTCTTGCTATAAGAAGATATCGAATCCTGCAGATAAAATACGGCACTATTAAAATTTTGAAAGTTACAGAGTATGTTCAACAACAAGGATTTCACACATTTATCGAGAAGGGAATGCAGTGGCAAACTTTCTTGCCATTGAAGGACAACAGTTTGACACTTTAAAGATGCTACAACCAATGGGACGAAGAACAATGGTGAAGAGATTGCTTCGAATGGATAACTTTCAACTGCCACGTGCTAGGTACAAGAAATGAAGTCTATATTTCTTTGCTATGGTAGTTATGTTTTTTCATACTAGTACACCCAAGTTTAGATTTTTGTAAAACTTTTTTTCTCTCTGCTCTAATAGCATCTCTGCCCTATGGAGGCCAGGCACGAAGTTCTCCTTGTATTAAATTTTCTGTTAATAGAAAATTTAAGACTAATGTCAATTCCCACATTTAAAATTAGGTTGAGGCCTGAAAATCTTGCTTATGCAAAGACGGGTTCGATAATAATAAAACAACAAAGAACTATTTCTTTCTTTCACTGGATTTCGACCAATTAATGAAGCACAATTAGGAGAAAATTTCTAAAAGCAGATTTGATCAACTTTCATGTAAAATCTATCTCCAACCAGAAGTCACTCATCACAAACAAATCTTGATCATTGATTACAAATGAGTGAAAACATATTCTAATTTTTAATAGTAAAAACTCGTTATATCGGTGATCAAAGACAGTCATTGCTTACTAATTTCAGTTTCTAAAATTGTGCAAGAGGCTCCCTTAAATGCCGAAATTAGACAATTTAAAGCAGCATCCCTATGTAAGTTTCATGATGATTTTTTGGTTGAAGATGCAGGGGATGAAACTTGGGTCAAATCCAGGCTCTGGTCCTCATACAAGAAAAAATGATGTCAGCTAAAGGAGAAAATAGAGCAAGTCTGGAGAAGATAAGAAAAAAAGAAAAGGGCAAGCAGCAGAAGACACAGAAATCAGGGTGAAAATTTCTGTAGAAGAAACCTCGACTTCATTCTCACTAAAAATGAAACCCAAGTCATAGTATTCTTCTTCCACTATTATCTCTCCTGCCCCCTCACCCTCCCCTTTCCCACATCCTCTGCAGGAGTAATAGCTTAATCCTGTTAATTAAAATTTTTGCCAATTCAGAATACTGATGTGGTCTTATCCCTAAATGGAATTCAGACGATAATTTTCACAAAATACAAATAAAAATGAATAGAATGAAAATGATTAAGTTAAACTACCTTTTTTTAAAATTTGTGATGAAAAGATAAATGTAACATAATGATTATTGGAGAAGAATCTGTACTACCCCAGATTAATCCATTAATAAATTTGACCGAAAGCAGTTTTCTGGTATTCATTTTCAAGAGAGAAGTTTAGCAGAAGTGACAGCACAAATCATATGCATAGCTTTCACAAGTGAAGCATTCTCACCATTCCCCGTTGGAAAGGAAAGTCAGCCCATGTGGGGACACAAACGTTGTTGTTTCTCCAATAACTGTGAACAACAAAAAAAGATGACTTTTGATCCACATACACTAGAAGGAAGAATAAGCAGCAGTCCTTAAATGGCCAGCTGGAATATATGTTTTTAATTCAAAGTCAAACTAGAGGGATTAAACAGTTGGATAAAATGGACAGTTTCTTATAATGTAACATTCGTCGGTTAGAACGACGGTAACATGATTATTAAGTACAACACTAAGATCATGGGATATGAAGACTTAATAAGTATAGGCACCAGAGATGAGGAATGATAAAGCAAGATACATAAGTGTGGATATTAAGTTATTTCCCAAAAGCAGGGTAGGACACATCACAGTAAATATATTATGCAAGTGTGATGTTAAATGATGTATGCATGTTTAAATTTCATCTCACACTTTATGTATTCGTTCCTGTCTGTGGAATATAAGAAAAGCTCGTATATAAAGAAAGTTGCCCTATTTAATAGGTTACAATTAATGAATATTGGAATTGATAGCTACCATATTTAGTTTTGATTTTGGTACTATATAATTAGAGAATCTCACATTAAGGGAATCGAGTCTTATTAAGTATATTTGACATGATATTAGAGAAATTACAATGCTAAATAAATTAACCTTTGAATTTCGGTTCCAGCGAGCAGGTCCTTCTAGCAATTTTGTTTTTGTTCTTTCTATTTTCTTTTCGTTTTTTTATCAAAACTCAAAATACACAGATTCATCCATCCACAAAACCATGTTCAAATCATTCCTGATTTTCCACTTTGATTCTTTCGCTTTGATCAATCCATTGTTGGAAGGCCCATGTTATCAACTTCCAATGGCCGAATCTCTACTCTGCGTCTTTCACATGGGACAAAAGTCAAAGCACTTTGTTGTTAGGTCCCTCCGGTAGAATCAGCTCATTTCAATCTCCGATCCTAGTGTCGCAACTTCCCTTCTCTTCAATGAATTGGGTTCTTATGCTCAAAAGTGCCACATTTTCTACCTGAAGAATCAAGCAAAGCGACATACCCACTGTTGCACTTGGGCGCAATTATCATCATCGGAATGGGCGGTAATGCTAGATGTCGGTTTGGTGGATGGGGGTTTGGAGTTTTAGGCAAGGGCTTGTTTGGGTTTAATAATGAGATTGAAGGTGTGATAAACAGAAATTGCCCGGCTGGGTTGTGCCCACATAGTATATTTTGTTATGATAAAATAATTTTTGATAATAAATAAATTGTGATTTTATTTATTTATTGCATTATTTATTATTTAGCATGCAAATTAAACGGTCTATGATCACTCGAGATAATACAAGTTGGGTACTTGCTTTGAGAAGTACAGTATGACACAACTTATATTTTGATCATAAATAATTTGTTCACAAACAATGTATAAGGGTTGGCACCTTATACTAGAAAGTGTAGTGTTGACAATGTCACTATTCAGGATTGTGATTTGTCCTTATCACAGAAATAGTCAAAGGTGACACCAAGACACTTGGAGTGTATTGAACAGACCACGTGTCGAGTTTAATTCTATAGCATGACCGTGCGAAGTATTAAATTCCACTTGACCGCTGTGTATTTCATCTAAATCCCTTAAAATGATTATATATATCTTAGTGATTTTAATGGTTCTTTGATTTATCAATGGATGAGATCAATTTGATTGGTCAAATATCTCGATGAGTTGGGAATTTGAGAATGAGCAAAGTAGAGAACATGAATTCGTGTCGGGAACCGTCACCCGGAAAAACGAGTAAAGTGACTACTTAAGTATTTTCTGTTAAACGGTTAAAATCTGAGCTCAGTGTTTAGCGATGGCTAAATTTCGACATCTGTGATTTGTTCATATGATCATTGAAGAAAATGGAACTTATATTAGTAAGAATAATTAGAGGGACAAAACGATAATTTNCAATAATCATAATACATAATTCCATAGTATTCAAATTTGGACAGAGAAAAAGAGATTATTTTTCTTGATTTTTTTAATTGTCCGGTTCAAGAATTAGTTTCTTAATTTAATTAAAAGAAGGTGCCCACCCACTAATGTTGTCTTGACTTAGAAAAATACCATAGAAGACTTGGAGGTTTGACACATTAAGTTCTTGAAATTAAAAAAAATTGAAAGTTTGTAATCTAAAAAGATGGAAGTTCATGGTTTAGAATTTATTCAAGAATTAATCATCAAATTTAGTTAAAAATTCGAATCCTTTATTCCTGATATAACATAGAGGTAAACATCTAGATAATCTTGATTATTGAATTACAGAAATTTTTAATTTCTAGATAATTCTGCTTCCACTTCCAACATCGGCAACGTAGGAAATTTTTGGCTTGGTATTTTGGGTTTGCAAAGATGATGCCAAAAAAATCATTTTTGGCTGAGGAGGCCGAGACAAGGGAGTCTAGACAGGGTTTTAGTTGCTCGGATAATGAGCTAGAGTTTTGGATTCTCCAGGGAGGATCATCTTTGGGTTTTTATTGTAGGTTTGTTTTGTAAAATTTCTTCCAACTGCAACATCTTGGCCAACAATATATTACTGTATGTTTCCCAATGTTTTGGCCATCAGTGCTTTTGTCGGAACACGAGTTATGTGTTCGGTTAAGGAACGTAAGTTGTGTTCAACTGAATTCTAACGACAGATATAACTCGCTGTGTGCGATCAGCACACTTCGTGAATTTATTTTGGAAATTCTTCTTTAGGTGTGAGGTCTCTAGAGTAGCTTTGGAGATTCTTCTTTAGGTGTGAGCTCTCTAGAGTAGCTTTGGAGTGTTCTTGGAGGAATTTTGAAGTAATTCTTGATTGTTTTTGCACTATTTGTTGTTCTTGTATCTCTCGCTATCACTTTTTTTTTTTTTTAGATGGTTGCTGTGATTTGGGTCCATTCTTCATGAGCACGAGCATGGTCATTGCTGCTAATTCATGATTGCAAATCAATGCTTTTATTATTATTAATTTGAGGGAAAATGTCAGCGGAATATAAGGAAGCTCGAATATAAGAAAGGTTACCATATTTAATAGGTTTCCATTAATGAATATTGTAATTGATAACTACCATATTTAGTTTTAATTTTGGTACTATATAATGAGAAAACCTCTCACATTGAGGGTATAGTCTTATTGAGTATATTTGACAGTTTTTTGCTTAATATTGCTCAAGACCTATGTTGCTCGGACTCGGATGCCGTATCGGGTACTGATATGTATCTAAATGTCATATATTTTATTTTCTAAAATATAGGATACTGGAACATAGCTAAAAAAGAGTCCAAATCTCGGATACGAATACATGGGTATGTCTTTCAGGTTTCAATTTTTTTTACTAATTCAATATGTCATTTTGAATAGACCAAAATCAATTATTCACAAAAAAAGAGAATGGATATTGAATAATGGGTTTAGACCAATAAAATAGAATTTTATGATAACACTATATGGAACTATTTTCATTTTATACAAACAAAACCTAAACCACCAATACAAAGGGGGAAAGGAAAAAAAGAAGAAAATGGAAAGAAGGAAAAGAAGGAAAAATCTAGCGCCGCCTTTCTCCACCCTCCCGACGACAACACTAGATTTATAGAAAGCATAAACGGAAAAGAAGAAAAGAAGGAAAAAAAAGAAAGGAGAAAGGAGAAGAAGCAAAAACGATGAAGTATCCGATAGAAACTTGGAGGATCTAACACATCTCATACCGATACCCATGTCGTGTCGTGTCGTGTCGTGTCCGACACGGGTACTCCGACTATTTTGAAGAGTGCGAACACAAGGACTAGACAAGATATAAACAATATATGTCTCCTCTAACCGCTTAACGTTTGGATCAAGTAGTTCAACAAAGTACAAAGACGGACAAAGGTCTGAAATTCAAATCTCGCCGCCACTCATTAATTGTGCACATGTCAGGTTTTTATGGGAAAAAAGGGAATTCTACCCGTAAATTGGGTTTGAAAGATACAATTTCAATGATATATATGAGACTCTTTCTAACGGTTTAAGCTTTTAGATTACATGATTCAATAGATATACATACATTTTATGACCATCACTCCTTTGTTAAATGCTACAAAATATTATGAATTCCAATTATGCTTTTTTTTAACCTTAATATTTTTTATTATATAAAATCAATTAAAATATTCATGCTTGATTATTTCGATATTATTCCAAAAGTATCTATCAAATGCATACTATTGTAACATTGTGTTTAATTTTTGGGCATGGTTCAAAGTGTTGGTGGTAGAAAGGCATTGATGAGGACATCTACTTTTTGGGCTTGTATTATCCATCTATGTTTGGACTTGTATTACTCATGGGCTGACCCAAAGCTCAGTCCTTTTCTTTTATGTTTTATAGTTATATATTGGACTTGTATTACCCATGGGCTGGCTGATGCAATATTATAGAGATAAATTATTTATTTAGTTTCCTATTTTGATTTGTATTTTAGGAAACATTATATGAGTGTGATTTAATTAACTTTTATGGCATTTCTTTACTTAGTTATGTCTTTTGAAACCCTATATAAAGGGGATTATGGAGATGTAATAGAACAACTTGATTATATGAAATAAATTGATTTCTCTCCTTATTTCTGTCTTCTCCTCTCTTCTTCCCTTTCATTTCCCTTCTTCTACAATTCTTTTATTGTATTCGGCGTCACAGGCCCAATCCTTTTCTTATGTTTTGTAGTTTCTATATATAGGCTTTGTAATGTTTAGTGGGGAACAGATTGCATGGAATGAAATGATAAATGAGTGTTAAACACGTTCTCTCCCTCTCTCCCTTTTCTCCTCCTCTTTCTTCTCTCCTTGTTCTTCTTCTCTAGCTGTTTCTTTACTGTGTGTATTCTGCTTCTTCTGCTAGTTTCTTCAACTTTTATACGTTCTGAATTTCTCAATCCATCCTACATCAGGCATTCTAAACAGATATGCATCATACTTGAGTTCCACCAGGCTTCCTAGCTGGTGACGTGCGACCTTCAGCTCAGAAGATAGAGATACAATATGTGCATATAAATATTGGTTACATTATCACTCTTATTTTTGGGACATGTAAACATCATTGTCAAGAAATCATGTCCTAGGCTTGCCGTTTTCATTCCATGGCCATATAATGGTCCAGTTCCATAGCAAATCTCAGATATGATAATGCCACAAAATGAAAGTAGCAGAAATCAGACATGGTACTCCAGCAAAAAGTTTCAAACTCTGTCTAGCATCAGTTCAACAGCTACAAATGACGAATAATAAAGCTGCCAACTATTTGGGGTATAATTTAAATGAATTTGGGATTTAGATTAGCTTTCACTACTGTTAAAAGTAAAATTTTAACACATTATATATAGAGAAGATAATGATAATGATAATGAATTATGCAAAATAACTGACCTATTACCCAGGTGACTATAAAATCAAAACGATTTTGACCATCCCTCCAATAGTTCTCAAACCCATATGCATAGACCTTCAGTGCCATCTCCAGGACATACAGCCACCCTGCAGAGCGAAAATGCAAGCAAATTCAAGAAGACATTGATGCTTCATAAATTCTAAGATCCATGGAGCACTTACCAAATACAAACTCCACCTTTTGCCAAGCCTCTTGTGCAGAATTATTCTCAATATCAAGCTGAAACCCAATCAGCATAACATGTCAGCATATGAAAAGATAATATCTACGTAGGTTTACTAAATCATTTAGTCAACCAATTTTCAGCAATCCCAATTCAGGAATCTGAATGACTTTCTGAAGTTTAAATGAGAATCTTAAAATAATAGCATCTAAAACTACATAAAGATTTGATAGTGCTATATGATTCATGATTCAAACATACACATAATGTCATTGAGTTTATGTTCAAGAAACCATTAAATTTTTTACTAAATCATTTAGTCAACCAATTTTCAGCAATCCCAATTCAGGAATCTGAATGACTTTCTGAAGTTTAAATGAGAATCTTAAAATAATAGCATCTAAAACTACATAAAGATTTGATAGTGCTATATGATTCATGATTCAAACATACACATAATGTCATTGAGTTTATGTTCAAGAAACCATTAAATCTTCTCAAATATATAATATATGGTTTAAGTTTTAACTACTATTTCGGAGACTACTTGACTGAAAGTCATACCGTTGTCTCAGTAACAACAGCCACAAAATTCAAGATGAGGATGAACACTACTATGTAACCAAATATGGGGCTTCGAACAAAGTCTTTCAGCTTCTCAGAGGCAGGCGAGTGGTAGAAAGTTGGACAGCTTTCAAAAATAGGTAACTGCAAAACAGAAAACAGTAGCAGAGTGCAGATAAAAAATCTTCATATTTTCATCAAGACCACAGAAGAATGCAAAGACACTATTCAAGCCTCAAGTTAATGGACTCACTGACTCCTTTTGAAATCTTAGTGCAATGGCATTGACCAGATCAGCAAATTCATCCAAATTAATCTGCAGGTGCACCAAAAAGAGCATCAAAATAATAAAAATGTCCTTGGACAATATAATCATCAATTAGCATAGTAGTTTTAAAAAGAAGCGTCTATTCCACTTCCTAAAAGTACGAAATTAGTCCTAAAAATGTTCATTGCATTTTTATTGGGTATGCAATGAATATATCATACGTAAATATGATACGAGTAAATATTCGAATTAATATAGTGAGTCAAAAGATGCTAAATTTTTTGAAGAAGTGCTCCGGTATAAGAATGAAACTGAGAATAATCAACTAATAAACATGAAATTGCTTTTAAAATGGCTGCTAAGTGGACAAAAAAAGAGTAACGAGCTAGAATAGCTAAACCACTGACCAGGAGTGACATATATGATTGAAAATAACTTGCAAACATCTAAGTTAACTACATCTAACCCAGAAGCATCGTGCCAAAAGGTTGCTGCTATAATAAGAGAATTCAGTCTATTTTAAGCAAAAACATATGGCAATTGGTTGATCTAGTAACTGGAAAAATATCGCTTGGATGCAAATTGAGGATAACAACAAGATTTTATTTGTTGCTAAATGACATAGTCAATGGGAAAGAGATGACAATTTCGATACCGATTAGCCAGTAATTAAAATTACTTTTGTAGACATAAATTGCTAGTGCAACTTCTGCAATTTAAATGTAAATCAAATGGATATAAAAACTACGTTTTCTGTCAGTGGCTCACATTCCGTTGGGAAAACGAGTTTCCTAACTATAGAAAGGGTATATCAGGACAGAGAAGAAAAAAGCCAACAACTTACACCAACCAAAAACTATAAGAGAAAGTACCTTGAAGTCATGACTGTCATCCAACTCGTCAAATATGGGTTCAAAATCTTCCCTGGATATTTTTGGCAATGTCCTAGATAAATTTGAAACAGTTTTATGCTTCAATATATATGTGACACCACAAAAAATGCTAAATCTTGAGAAGAAACCTTAAAATGAAAAGTTACTATAAAAGAAATCCCTTTCATACAAAAAGAAGCATTGATGCAATAAAATTCTCATACAACAGAAATGATATAGTGGAAAGTAAAAACAAAAATTATAAGTCATACATTTCTTAATTTTCTCTGAAATAACCGAACTGATGGAATTCTAGTATTTCAAGAGATAGGAACTAAAAGAGGAATACCAACAAGTCCTCCCAATAAAATCCAGTAGAAGCTTGGAAGTATAAGGTATCCATCACAAAAAGATGGATGAAATTCTTGAAATTCATTTGTTTAGTTTCTAATTACTTTGCAAACTAAGCAAAAAGCTGCTCAGTTTCCATAACTTCTTGTTGAGGAAAATAATTGAAGCATTTACATGCGACCTTATCTAAAAGTTTAAGTGACACAACAAAGTATATTCGAGGGAAAAAAGGAACTAAATTAATTAGGGTTTCTTTAGTTCTATTTTGTGTTAGATTAGGATTATTAGTTTCCTACTTAGATTTGTTTATTTTCCTATTTAGGATAGGGTTGTTTAGACCTCTATAAATAGAGGGTTAACACATTATTTTACTTACACTTTGATTAATGAATACAATTACTACGATATCTTAGTTCTCTTCTCTCTCTTAACATCTCAATTTTCATGAGTTGCTAATTGTGAATCTTCATTTACCAGCTTCCTACGTCAAATTTGGTATCACAACTTGACAGTTTCCCCTGACCAAACAGTTAAAATCTATGGTTGTTTTGTATCCCTTATTTAGCTATTATTATGCTTATAAAATTGTATAGTTCCCTTCTTTAGATAGGTTGACAGTTTCCTCTGACATCATTCTTTACATTTATTGAAAAATATATTTTAGGATCTTAGATACTTGAATAATGGGGTTAATTCAGCTCTTCTTCTAGCTTGCTATTCTCAAGCAGTAGTCTACATCAGGCATTAATTAACAAGTCGCAGAATTATTTAATTCCTCTCAAAGCAGAAACCAAACTATGATTTAATCTTCAAGAAGGTTGTCAACAATAAAAAAAAGGAAATGCATGGAAAAATGAATTTCACCTATATTTGTTCAGTTCTTCAAAAAGACGAATGCATTGATCTTTGTTTAGGTAACCGAGATCCTGTCAAGTAGCAAAAATATATAAAATACGTAAACTAATAATTAGAAAACCATATATACTTGACCAAGTACTGTAAATTCCTTTCCTACATAATGAGAAAGCTCCATACTAATCCGGAAAATTTTAATATATTTCAAGTAAATCTACTATATAACTGACAAGCTTATTCCAGAGATCACAACTACCAACACTTTTTATATTCCACGTATAGTGGCAATCTCCTGACAAAATTTATGAAGAAAACCAATATCCCATTTACCAACCTACATGATTTCCTCGAATGAAAAATGAGAAGGAAAAAAAAAATGGTTGACATATGGAAGGTATTGGGTAACAACTTTAGAAATCATCCTCTCCATGTCATGGATGGAAACAAAACAATGAACGTTGTCCTTGTGCGCATATATTTGGGATAAGATGGAGGGTGGGGTTGGGGGGAGCAGGCATATGCACGCTGCGTGCATTGGTCCATTGATAGGATGTGAGTGTGGTGGCACCTAGATCTCCGGCGGGTTGTCAAACACCAAAGCATATAAGCACATGGATAAGATCATTATTTCAAAGACATTATTATCACTGCATTAAAAGTTATTCAGTTCCCTTCCGTCTCCATAAACCATATGCAAACATTTATGATCGCCTAAGAACAACATGCGTGATCTCATCACATAGCAATGTTTCCCTATAATTTTTAATCATGGGGTAAAATCCTTGCAAACTGACTAATCTATAGGACTTGCAAGTGGGTGGCTACATTCATTGTAAGCTGGCACTCCACACCCGGATTATAAATAAGAGGATTCTTCCAATTAATCCCCCCCCCCCCCCCCCCCCCGCCAAAAAAAAAA